TGATTTTTTGCTTTACAACACTTCTTACCTCACTGGGTTTCTAGATTTTTATTTTTATTTTATTTTATTTTTATTGATACCTATTTCTCATAAATCTACAGCCTTTTGGAGCGCTTCCTGTTATTCAAGATGGTGATTATACTCTCTATGGTTAGCCACTTAGCCCCTTTACTATTTTCTTGAATTTGTTTTATCTCGTGCCATGTACTTAAGGATTTGTGATTTTGCTATTTCTCCTTTTATATCATTCATTTTGATATGGGTGTTTCAAACTTTAGATCAAGATGTTAGATTGAGTTCTGGGGTTAGGACTGGTCATGCTCACTGTTAGAGAATAATATAAATCACTAAAAAGGCCCTCACTCAATAGTTAATTTAAGTTTTTGAGTTGAAATGGTTATTTATATAATATCAGAATTCGAATTCGAAAATTGTTGTACGTTGCATCACCTTTATATATTTGTTGTACGTTGCATCACCTTTATATATTTGTAAAGAGATTTTTCCTAAATTCGAATTCGAAAAATCACTTTAGACGAAATCCCAACTAATGAGGGTAACACTGAAGGCAATCCTTATATATTTGCCAATAGTCGTTTCACAAATTCGAAATCGTCCATTGAATATCTTTACCAGTGCTGAGTCTCACCCTCAATGTGAAAGATTGAAGGCCAACATTCCCAGATTTCATTTCTTTTATTTTTTTGCTAATGTAGAATAATATGTTAATTCTAATACACTTTGTTAAACCTTTTTTTACAGAATCTCGTGCAATAATCAGATACTATGCAGAAAAGTATAAATCCCAAGGGACTGACTTGTTGGGGAAAACAATAGAAGAAAGGGGTCTTGTGGAACAATGGCTTGAAGTTGAAGCACATAACTTTCACCCACCAACCCTCAACTTAGTTAGGAATGTTCTGTTTGCCCCATTAAAGGGAATTCCCTCAGACCAAAAAGTGATTGAAGAGAGTGATGAAAAGCTTGGGAAGGTGCTGGATATTTATGAGGAGAGGCTGTCGAAGAGCAAGTACTTAGCAGGTGATTTCTTCAGCCTTGCTGATCTTAGCCATCTCTCATTTGGTCATTATTTGGTGAATCAAACTGGAAGAGGGAATTTGGTAAGAGAGAGGAAACATGTGAGTGCTTGGTGGAATGATATTAGTGGCAGACCATCATGGAAGAAGGTTCTTCACCTATACAAATACCCTGTCTAGATCTGCTTAGTTCTACTTGATATCTGGTTTGATGCAAGTGCCTTCAGAGTCATCTATTTTCTGCTTGCGAATAAAACTGAGCCTATCTGCATGATGCAGAACTCTAGTTTGTTTTCTAATTTGCTTTTGTTTTCTATACAAAACTAGTTATTTACCCGTGCAACGCACAGGAGAGAAAAAAGAGTCGGTTTTTTTTATCTGGTAAAAATTTATGCAACTTATAAATAAAATTTAGTAATGCCTTTTATCACATATTACGTACGGTACAAATAATAATCAAACATTTTATAAGTGTCAAAGTAATTTTTTTCAGAATAAAGGGAGCTCTCATCTACTACTTATGTTTAAGTTTTGATCACTATTTTTTAAAAAAAAAGATATTCTTACTATCAAAATTTTTTATTACTAACTTACTACCTATCTAATCACCATTGAATCAAAGAAAGAGAATGCTAAAAAGATTTAAAAAAAAAGAAAATGTTGATCCATTGGTGATTAGATAAGTATTGAGTTGGTAGTAGAAGATTTTGGTAGTAAGAATATCTCTCATCTTTTTCAAATATTGAAAGAACTGTAAGTGTTGATGACTACCCCATATCTATGAGTCAGATTTATTTTCTACAGTAGAACGAATATATATAAACAGAACCAAATGAACTACGTTAATAATTGAAATTATTTAGGATCAACACTACTTGACATTCAAATGATTTTCATGTCTTTAGTTTAATTTATAGAAGCAAAAACCGCACTGTAACATCATATCCTGCATCTCTTAGCTACGGTGATATCCATTGGAGTCTCCAATTAACGAACAGAATTGTACCATAAATTATGGGAAGAAATTGCATGAACAAAATAGAATGTTGAAATTTTTATGGTACCATTAAACTCACAATGTCAAATAAGGTTTCGTTGTCATTAGCAGATAAATATTTGATATGCAAAATATTAAAGTTGCCGATTAGCTCATCTATGGTTCAAAATAATTTTTGAGCTCTGTACCCTCCACGTTGCTAAAATTGATATTCAATAATGATAATTTAATATATTGATAATTTCTTATTATACTAAGCATGCATAAAAGAAGTAGAAAAATAAAGGGATACATAAGTGAAGCTTACAGTTTCAAATATGTATGAGGTATATGCAATAGGCGTCGCATCATGTTTTAATAAATCTGGTCTTTTTACCTGAGACCATCCCAATAAAGTTATTAGAATTCTTTTTTTTTTTTTTTTGGATACAGAGGAAACAGAAAAAACAGCAAAACAAAACTTAGCTACTGATAGTTCTGGGGTACAAAGAACCTGTCAAATCATTGCCTAGTAAAACCCTACAGCCCCGGGGGGGATTTTCAAAAAACTGGGTACTCCAATCCTCAGTCCCCGGGTTCGATGCAAGCCAGTCGGCTACTCCACTTGCCTCTCTATGGGTGTGAGAGAACCTGATTGACCAATCTCTACTAGAAAGGATCTGGATCTTTGAAACCAACATGGAAAAAGGTAGATGATCAGGACAGTTTTTTTCTATCACTTCTAAAGCCGAAGAAGAGTCTGATTCCAACCATACGTATTTAAATTGTCTAATCCACGCCAGTTCCAAACCCATTAAGATTAGGGTTGGTAAAAACGAGCCAACCCGTCGGGTTGGCTCGCAACCCGTCCTAAATGAGTCGGGTTGGGTTGGTGTTAATCAGCTGCCAACCCGACTCGATACAACCCAGACCCAAACGAGCCAGCCCGCGAGTCAAACGGGCCAGCTCGCGGGTTGGGGATTTTTTTTTGTTTGATTAAAAAAATAATATGAAAACTAATACCCTAATTTCTGCCCCCTTTTGACATTTCATCTCACTAGTTCATTTTGCAATCAGCCTTGTTTATTTTCTCACACCTTGCAATCGAAGAACCCTATCTCACGCCTCACAATCTGCTCACGCCTCACAGTAAGGTCTTCTCACATTTAGTTTACCATTTTGTTTTTTATTTAGTTTACCGTTTTGTTTTCTAAATTATTTTGTCAAACAGATTTGCTGATTTCCCCCATTTCATCTTCGCTCTCCAACTAGAAGTCAGCAGCTCCAACTCGAAGTCACCAGATTTGCAGGACATCACTGATTCTCATCTCCTCAGGTCATTCATTTCCCCCCTTCGACATGGATTTTTATTCTCTGATTCGATTCGATGCTGTTGGTTACTTGATTTATAATGGTACTTGTTGATTTTTCTCAGGTTATAATTTTTGAAGTCATGTTATAATTTTTGAATTCATCTATCAAGGATAAGCTATACAACACGGAATACAAATTTTATCATCTCATTACTGAAGTGTGAGTTTAATACTTACAGCCAACCAAAAAAGAGGTAGCTTACTAATTTTTTTATGTCAAATTCCACATTATCTCAACTCTCCATCTTAACTAGAAAAGGCATTCGTTTTTTACAGTAAACCAAGCAAGATATTTACAAGATAGCTACTTCTATTAACTCAGCTTCGCGATGAATATAAGAATGAGAAATAAATGCTATGATACTGCATACCATAGGAGGACTAACAGTTCCAGTATTAATTTCTTATATTGGTTTTACTCTTGTCAATTGTCATGCTATTACTTTTTAAGATATATAAATATGCATTCCGTGTCATTTTTTTTAGTGAACTTTGGATACAGTTTGCATTGGGAGGGAAAGAATATTTCTTCTTAAAGAATAGAGTTAGTCATTAGAAAGTTAGTTAGAGGAAGGTTTTGTTTGTCTAAAAGGAGGTGTTTCCCTCTATATGTGATAGACTGGGTATTTTTCTGAATATTGGCCTAGAGTGCTCATTTTGATAAGGGGAGTGCCCCTTGGCATTTGGCAAGAGAAATGTCTCTTGTATGTTCATTTGATTTTATCATCAGTAAACAGAGATTTATATTCAAACACCAATTAACCATAGAAAACTAATCTGAATCAAACAAGAGTTTGTAAAAATCATGAATGTTTTGTCACCAGAAAATTGATTTGAAAGTAACTTAATATAATACTAAAATATGAATTGGGATTTAATAAAACAAGTAAAATTTTCCCTCCTGGACGCCAAAAACCCCATATAAATTACAAGTTGCAACTGAAAAACTGTCAAAACTAACACGGACGCTAAAACGCTCCCTCCTGGACGTTTTAGCGCCATCTTCAACATCCATTCAACTGCTTTCAACTGGCTTCAGCGTTAAAACCTTCTGTTTGGGCGTTTTAGCGCTGAAGATCAGCATATTTTTGGCTTTGACGTGCAGCAGCGCGCTAAAACGTTCTGGTTGGACGTTTTAGCGCTCCAGACCAGCATCTTTTGGCTTCTTTCTGTAACAGGGCGCTAAAACGTCCTGTATGGACGTTTTAGCGCTCAACACTTAGAATTTTTCTCTTCTTCAGAATCTTCTTCCTTCTCCCAGTTGCCTTTTAAGCTTGATTTTCCTACAAGAACAATGCAAATTTTCAATAAAGCTTCTTGAACTTGTAGTTGAGGACATTCTAGGATATTAACCTCTTTTTCCATCATTAAATCACACAAATTGATACTAATTCGTGCTGTAAAACCTGATTATTTAACACTATACCAAGTAAATGAAATCATAAAGCCTAAATTTCTGTATTGATCTTTATAGTCATGAAGCAATTTATGCAAGAACTATAAATACCTGTGTAGATCTGTCCTAATTTTTCTAACCTTACCTATGTTGATCTGTCCTAATTTTTTACATGCAGGCATCAAATTTGTAACGTGCAGACTTTAAATCTCTCTGAAATGGCTGATTCGAATAGGTAAATATTTTCCTATTTTTCAAATCTCTCATTACCATTTCCGCTATAGTAATTTTATATTAAACTTTGATTTAGGGAAAGTTTGGCATTCATTGAAGAGGGCAATGATGCTGATGCAGAAAGCGATGAATTGGAAGTTGAAGAAGGACCTGCTTTTAAAAAGCCTAGGAAAAGGCAAGCGCGTTGCTGGAAATATTTCACAATAATAGGAGAAAAAGGGAATGAAAAGGCAAGATGCAATGATTGCAAGATAGAGTACAAGATGGACAGTAAGACTTGCGGTACGTCTACTTTAAACCGTCACATTAACAAATGCACACAAATCAAACATGAAGATATTGGCCAAGTCATTTTAGACATGCAAGGTAAAATGAAGGCTATAAAAATAGATATGAAGGTAGCACGTGAGATGTATGCTGAAGCTGTTATTGAACATGACCAGCCCTTTAACTTTACTGAGTATAGGAAGTTTAGGCGTTTTCATAATTACTTGAATCCAGATTGGACTGGCATTTCTAGAAATTCTCTTAAACAAGATGTTTTAAATGTGCACATGAGAGACAAGAAGAAGCTGAAAAAGATGTTTGGTAGCATTGAAAGTAGGATGTGCTTAACTTCATATTTGTGGAAATCTTGTAATACCGAGGGTTATGTTTGCTTAACTGCCCATTTCATTGATGTAAATTGGAAGCTGAATAGTAAAATTATTGCCTTCCGTTATATGCCTTCTCCTCATACTGGATTTGAATTGACTCATAAAATACTTGGTTTGTTAAAGGAATGTGGCATAGAGAAGAAGATTTTTACCATTACTTTGGATAATGCAGCTGCAAATGACTCTATGGTTGGTGGTTTGAGAAGCCAATTGAATATGCAAAAATTGTTGTTATGTGATGGAAATTTTTCCATGTGCGTTGTTATGCATACATATTGAATTTGATTGTTCAAGATGGAGTAAAAGTTGTAAATGATGCCTTGTCTCGGATTAGAGAGAGTGTTAAATATATAAAAGGCTCAGAATCAAGAATGATCAAATTTAAGGAGTACATTGAACAAGTTGGTGGTGAGAACACTGTAACTGCATTGATAGCAGATGTACCCACTAGATGGAATTTCACTTATGAAATGCTTGATCGTGCTCACAAATTCAGGCGTGAGTTATCAATTCTCCAATTGAGTGATAGAAATTACAAGTATTGTCCTTCAGAAGAAGAGTGGAATAGGTTGGAAATTCTTTGTCGGTTCTTGCAACCGTTTTGTGAGATCACTAATTTGATGTCTGGCACTTCTTATCCTACTTCTAACTTGTATTTTCTACAAGTTTGGAAAATTCAGCGTGTTCTCATTCGTATGAGTACTGATGAAGATGTGGTGGTAAGTAGCATGGCTAATAAGATGATGGATAAGTTTCAAGAATATTGGGAAGAGTATAGTGATGTGCTTTCACTGGGAGCTGTTCTTGATCCTCGCATTAAGTTTACTACATTATCTTTTTGTCATAGAAAGATTGATGCTTACACACATGATGACAAGATGGAAAATATAAAGGCAAACGTGTATAAGCTCTTTGATAATTATGTAAACATTAATTCATCAACTACCACTGATCAAAGTCAAGATAACACTCACTTTTCAAGTCAAGGGTCAATGGAAACGAGAGGATGGAATGATGAGATCTTTGATGTAAGTTCATGTTTAGCAAAAAGCTTTAATTATGTTATATCATATTCATTTTCTCGCCTCAATTTATGCATGTACTTACTTACTTCAATTATTATGTTTTTGCACTTCTCAAATATGATAGGAATTGTTCTTGCACAATCAACACCTTGCAATAAATGCTGGAAAATATGAACTTGATGTTTATTTAGAGGAGCCTATATTGGTTATTGACAACTGGAATAGTTTTGATGCATTGCAATGGTGGAAGGATAATAGTTGTCGTTTTCCTAATCTATCATTAATGGCTTATGACTTGTTAAGCATTTATTACCACTGTGGCATCTGAATCTGCTTTTAGCATTGGATCACGTGTGCTTAATAAATATAGAAATAAGTTGTTGTCAAAGAATGTTGAAGCTTTGGTATGTACCCGCAATTGGTTGGCTAGTTTTGTTGCCAATGGTAATTTATTTATTTTCAATGCAATTAAAATTTCATTTTCATTTGTCATTGTAACCTTAATTGATTATTTACATTTTATGGTTTGTGTTTTGTAGATGATGATGATGATGGCATTTCCCATATATTAGCTTCTTCACGGGGATCTAATGGTCATGAAACTTTGTAGATGATCTAATGATGATGGTGTACTTTTGGATGTTTAGATTTTGATATTGTACTGTATGTCTGTATTGGCCATGGGAACTCATAGGACAATTTTTATTTTGTAATGTGTTTGTCTACTGCTGTGTTGGGATTTCTTAATTTATTGGTTATGTTCCACAAAAATCAATTTTTTCTAGCCAACCCGCGAGCCAATATTTCGAGCTAGCCAACCAGCGAGCCAACCCACTGGCATCATTTCGAGCCAACCCACGAGCTTTTTTTGAGCCAACCCGCAAGCTTTTTCCGAGCCAACCCTAACCCGGCTCAGGTTGGGCTGGGTTGGGTTTTCTGGCTCGTTTATTTTTTCAAGCCAACCCTAACCCGACCCGATTTTTACAGGTTGAATACGGGTTGGACCGGGTCGAGCCGGGTTGGCCCATTTTGCCATCCCTAGTTAAGATGCCCCACAGTTCCGCCATGAAGGAGTTATTGAAACTTGTGTTTTTGCTAAAACCCACAATCCATCCTCCTTGGCTATTCCTGATCACACCACCGTAGCCTGATTTTCTTCTATTATTGCTACTAGCTCCATTAGTATTAACCTTAACCCACCCTGGACCTGGGAGACGCAACTTGATAAACGCTAGTTGTTTCTGTCTCACTACAAGGCCTGCCTTCACCAGCGTATGGTGAGCATGTCGAGCATTTCGAGAAAACTGGGAAGCCCTGAAACTCACTTGCTGGGGACTATCTGATGCGCTATTAAAATCAAAGTTATTCATTTCCTTCCACATATACCAACACGTGACTCCAAAGAGCAGATTCCACTCGGTTTGGGATGGACCAGTTCTGCAGTCCTTAAGGTTCCTGGAAACCCAGTCCATTACATTCCCCTGGAAGAAAGTTACTCGGTCATTAAAGCTCAAAAGGTGGAGCCAAACGTCCTTTGCCCAAGTGCAGTATCGAAGGAGATGAAGGGAGTCTTCCACCTGTAAATTACATCTAGGACATATGGATGAAGTGCACATATGTCTTATGTACCTCATATTGTTTGTAAGAAGTTTATTTCCCAGCAGTAGCCAAATAAAGGTTCTGATTCTCTGCGGGCCATTACATTTCCAGGCTAGTTTCCATTCAACAATACTCAAATGATCCTCCTCGGTGGTTAGTTTTTGGTAAGCAGATTTGATGGTAAATTTTCCATCATTAGAGTGAGCCCATGTAACTTTATCCTCACCCCACCATTTGTCTCTGGAGGCATGATCCCCGCGATAAAATTCATGCCCTCGTTAGATATAAGGTGGTTGAAAAGGATCCAGTTCCAGTTTCCATTAGAATCGACGTACTCCGCTACCTTCCCTTCCAGCATGGATTCGGGAACATGGTTCACTGTAAAGTCAAACACTCTGCTAGAGGGAAACCAAGCATGCTTCGAAAAATTTGTTGAATGCCCATCTCCTAAAACGATCCTTTACCCATCTGCTATCTTACCCCAGAGTTTCGAAACTCCCTTCCACAAATTTGAGCTGTTAGTCTTTCTGGGTATGGTAGGAATTAGCTTAGGCCCACTCTATATTTATTCCTCAAAACCCTAGCCCAAACGCTATCCTTGTTTGTGATAATTTTGTGACCCACTTTCATAATCATTGCACTGTTGAACGATCGAAGGTCCTTTAAGCCCAGCCCTCCCTCCTTTGGCAATTTTCAATCTATCTCCCAATCGACTAAATGAGTTTTCCTTTTGGTACTAGTCGAACCCCACACAAAGTTCCTAGTGCAGTTTTGGATGTCATCACAAATTGTGAGTGGCACAATCGACGTTTGAATGGTATATGTCGGCAGTGCATTTAAGACAGCTTTAGCTAGGGTCACTCTACCAGTAGCCTCCATTCAGGACAAGTCTTCTTCTCCAAATCTTTCAATTTTATGTGTTTAGGGTGAGTCGATTAGTGGCTTCGACAATGATACCAACATTGTGAAGCTTTCCTGAGACTCACAATTTGGATGTTCATGGTTATTGATGAGCTTCACGCTATCCTTAATCTTGTCGCGTACACAATTAATGATGTGGACTTTAATCGGATGGAGGTACAGACGCTCAAGTATATCCCTAAGCTTACCAGTTTTTTCATACTTGGGACATATTGAGGAGGCTAGTAAAGGTTGCTTCCCTTACTAAGAAGAATGGAAAATGAGTTATGCAATATTCAAGGTCAAGTAGCTGAAGAAAGAGAAGGAGGAAGAAGTTGTTAAGGCGGGCCAACTTCAAGCCAAGGTGGAACATCAACAAAAGCAAGAAATTGAATCTTCCAAGGTGTTCAAGGTAGCCATCAAGCGAGCTCAAAAGGTGGAGAAGGGTCTGACCGACCTTGAGCTTGCTAGGCCAGAAAATGAGAAGGTGAGCTATCAGAAGTTGGTGAGTGCCTTCGAGATTATAGTCCCAGAGATTTTCTGATGTGTCTCCAATTTATTATGTATTAAGGGTTAATATGAGCATGAAATTGATTTAAAAGATAATTAAAAGATATGAGAATTGTAATTAAATTGTTATTTTATTCTCATTAATGTTCTCATAAAAATTCTTATATTTTGCAGTAATTTCCAGCTCAAAAGAGTGATAAATCAGAGAGCTTAATGGATTTGCTTTGGATTTCTAAATCATATAATTCATTGAAGATCTTATTGAATCTTCCCTTCAATATTTTGAAGGAAAGTTTTCCTTTAAATATAAAAGGAAAGGTTTTAAAAATTTATTAAAGAAATGATTGGAGATTCTAGTGAAGATTCCATTGAAGATATTATGCGAAATTAAAAGATATGGTTCATCACTATAAAAAGGCAACTCTTGGAAACAGAAAGAGGTTGTCACATTTAGAAAGAGAGGAGATTTTGCTAGAGATTGAAGATTTCAGAGAGAGAAGCTTGAAGAATTTGGCAACATTGATTTCTTTTCTTCTTCTTCTTCTTCATGACTTCTTCTACTTCTTTTTCTTTCTTTAATTTGTTTTAGCCAACTATGTCTGGCTAAATTTATTTTATAGTTAGGAATATGGATCCAACGTGAATCGTTGTTTTGGTTTAGATTTTTTCATTAATAAACTGTCTTAAATTATTTGTGTTTACCTTGATTTGCATGCTTAAATTCTTGTATAATCTAGTCAATTATATAGGGATAAAGAGGGTTAGGATTCACAATAGATATATTGGGATCTTGATCTAGACAGGGGTAGAATACCTATTCTTGCATGATATGGACATAAGCTTGTAGGAATTACAAATTTTTATAATTCATCGCGCTTAAGGCTTAATCTAAAAGGGATTTCTAGGACATTAGGATTCCGATTGGGTTAAAAGGATAAAGAACTAAGACATTAGAATTTAACCAATTAATTTTTAGATGATGAATTGTTTGAAATAATTGAGATAGAATATTATTTCAATTGTAATTAAACCAATTAAGGGGGATCAGAGGTGAAGTAAACCTAACTGCATTTTTATTCAAAATTTCAAGTTCATCTTTTTAATTAATTTCTTTTAATATCATCTATATTTAATTTTAATTAAATATTGGTTACCTGTGAAATCACCTTTTGAATTATCTAACTTAGATAAAAACGATGAAACTATTGCTTGTAATTAGTCCTCGTGGGAACGATACTCTACTCGTTCACTTTATTACTTGTATGACCGGTATACTTGCCGTGTTCACAATATTTTGCTCAATGCTCTTGGGTGAGTGAAGATTTTTAAGAAGACTACAAATAGTGATATTTATTTGTTTTGCTGAGTCGTTTAACTGGAGTATTGTTTTGTCATTTACTTGATGTCTATACGCATTCTAGTGACCATCTCCTCAGCCGAGGAAGGGCACTTTACTCTTGCATTGAATTCTTCGAGTGCAAAATTTGCATAGTAATGAGAATTGAGTAATAATGAGATGATAGTCCTTTTGCTGCATTTGATCTCAAGGCTTAACCAGTGCATGCTGAATGAATAGAATTTTTTTTAATGAAAACATGATTGATAACTTGATAATAAGTAAATTGCGTAAAAAAAATGAGCTGTATTTATATTCCTAAGCGAGAACAATGAACAGGGTTTGAGACGACTTTAGGTGAATTCTGCTAGTAGTAAAGCTTTCGAGGAACTTCTGTGACAGGTCTAATAGACAATGTCAAAAAGTTAATTTTAGGAGGAAAAGGAAAGAAAGGAAACAAGAGAGTTTTATTAATCCCTTACTTATTTGTGAGTTTAAAAAAATGGGAGAAGAGAATTGAGGATTTTTTTTTAAATCCTTCAAAACCTTTCTTACTCTTAAAATTAAAGTTCCCCCAATTTGAGGGGTTTCAGAGGAAAATATTAAAAATTACTTATCTATCCTTAGCATTAAAATGCGAAAACTACATAAAAGTGAATCATTTTTAAATGTGACATTTGAAAAGTCTCAAATACCGACATAATTTATCGACGTAAAATATTTCATTGAAAATAGAAATAGTTATAAAATTTTTTACAAAAATCATATTACGTCGAAAATAGAGACAAAAATTTTTCCGTCTAAACTAAAGATGAAAATAGAGAAGGAACAAGATTTTGCCATAATCTTTGACATAAATTATTTCATGGAAAAAATTATTGTCAAAAATCTTGAAAGAATCTAAATTTTGTGAAAATTTTAACGCAAATATTTCCGTCAAACTTTTTATCGAAAAATATTTTAGTCAAAAATTTAGACAAAACACATTTCCATCGAAAAGTTTTGGCGAAAAAAATTCCATACAAATTTTTGACGAAAAGCATCTCCATCAAAATTTTCAACGGAGCACATTTCCAGCAAATTTTTTTGAAAAAATATATCCATAAAAATTTGTGACGAAAAACATTTCTGTAAGGAATTTTGGCTTAATTTTTTTTGTCAAAATTCTTTATGGAATCTAAATTTCTTAAAAACAATTCCCCAAAATATTTCACAAAAAACATATTTATCGAAATTTTTTATGAAAAATATTTCCATCAAAATTT